AAACTCCTGTCTATGTCACTCACTTACAGGTGGATAGTGCACAAGAGACGTGTCTGGTCCGCTTTGAAGATAACTCCCAGTTCTCCGTGTTGTGGAAGGACATCTTTCCTCGTAAGATCTTATATTCAGCTTTGATGACTGTAACTGTCATAATTAATAATTCATGGTGGAATTCCTGCCGTCATGCATGGCGGCTTCATGAATGATCCTCTCTTCTTCTTCCATAGCTGCCGTCCCGGGGAAGGAGCAGCTGTGCTGCGTGTGTAACTCGCAGTCGTGTACCTCTGACAATAAACTCGTGCATTGTGGAAAGTGCAAGCACGGTGAGCGCAAAACTAGACCATCGCCATCTTTTGTCTCCGGGACATTGTATTTGCTATTGTAAGCTGTCAGGCATTCCATAAGTCTCTAACCCTTTCATGACCAGACCAAACTTGGTAACACCAGTATTCTTTGTTTAACCCCTTCACGCCTAAAAAGTAAAACAAATATAAATGCCTAAGCACAATTTTGCAACATTGATATGTGTTAGTAAAACCATACATATCATCACAACTACTTTGTACATCCAGGTGTTTTTTTTCAGGACAAATTGGGATTTCATTTGGTGGTAAATGGTAATGGATATCTGCAGATTATTTTTTAGTATCAAAGGAAAACTGGCCCAAAATAGTAAAAAAAAATATATATTTTTTTTTAATTTAGCTATGTGTTTTTTGTTACTACCACAACCTACCACCAAAGAACAACCCAAAATAAATTTTCCAGCTCTTGGCGATCGCAGCGATACGATATATGTGTGTGTTATTTGTTGTTTGTACCCGTAGTACAGCCCAGAAACAATAGTGCGCTTTTTGTTTTTTTTTACCTAAAACACACTGACACCAATTTTTTTTTAAATCCTGACCTTTGACCCTTGACCCAAACACTTACCCTGGCACTGAACTAGATCAAACCTTGATCTAGGTATTTTTTTCTTTTATTTTTTTATATTTATTTATCTTTTTTTTTTTTTTTTACAAAATTTTTTTCCCCTCTATGCCAAGACTTAGAGAGATACAATGTATCTCTCTCCTCCATTCATAGAGAGAGAAAAAAACAAAAGGGGGCCAGGCTGATCACTGTGATAGTTAATCAGAGGCTATCGCAGCAATCATGTGACACGGAATCGGGAGTCCCAGGTCCCGATCGTTAGAACGGGACCCGGGGCTCTCAATGACACCCCGGTCTTTGTGCTGGGAGCACGCCGTGCGGCACGCTCCCAGCAGAAAGACAGGTACGCAAATATGCGGCCCCACGGAAAAAAGGCCAGTTCTGTGAGGCCGCATATTTTGTGTGACGTCGGCGTCAAGGGGTTAAAGTGGAAATCAGAATATAAAATGACATATTCGAGGGTTCTTCAAAACGTTTTTGCACTTTTATATATTCATTGGAAACGGTGAGGGTGGGAGGTGTAGCAATTAGCCGTGTCTGAGAGTGTCATGTGACTAGTCTGGCAGTTTAGTATAAGAGTTGTCACACTGTTTTTAAATGATTGATAAATAGAGTAAAAAAAAAAAGGGCAGAAACGTTTTGAAGACTCCTGTCTCTCTCTTTACTGTGGGCACATTATAGCGTCTATTGCTGCCCTACCTGGGTTACTACACTTACAAGTGCTTGGCATCAAGGCATTCCCTCTGTACTGCTGTCTCCCCCCTGGTGACAATATTCGCAAGCATGGCAGATCTCAAGTGTGGGGAAAAACGGTCAGATGGACTTGCTAGCTCAGGCTCAGCTTTTAGCTCCATTGGGAGTGGTAGTTTCTCTATAAAGAACCCTAGTACTCTCTTCTGTGATGTATGTCCCCATCTGACTCCCTGGCTTTCTCGTTCCATTGGTTTGTACCTCCACTGGACCAGTACATACTTTCATAAAAAGACATGGCTCTCCAAATGAACCAAGATTGGTTCCAAGGCCTCTTCCCAGTGATGGTTTGTGTCCCTGCAACCTGGTCTGGCTTCCACACCCCCAGTGTTCACCAAGATATTGGCACCTATTACCACTTACTAAGCTCCCAGGGTATTCCCAAAGTGGACTATCAGGTCAAGCTCCTATTAAGGTAACCATTGACACATATTCTGACCAACAACATGATGCAGATATTCTGGGCCTTAATGTTAAGTTGAAATGATGATCCATTAGAAATCAGCACACGTTTGGAGTGTCTGGGTCTTATCCTAAATACAGCTCAAGCTAGAGTCTTGCTTCCTCAAAAAAAACTTCAGATCCTCCGCTCCCAAAGTCAGACTCTAATGTCCAGGATCCCTACAACACAAGATTCTGTTGTTGTGGGATAAGTTGGTCCAGTTTTTTAAACAATCTGGCTTGCCTGACTCCAAAGATTGAGTTATCTCTGGGCTGGTGGCTTAGAAAACCAGCTCTGGAGTTGGGGAAATCTTTCCTCCCAGTGTGTTAAAAGATCCTCATGACAGATGCCAGCGTGAAGGGCTAGGGAGGAATCTCAGGCACCTTGTTGGAGCCAGGATTTGGTCACCAGAGGAAACTCTCCTACTGATCAACATTCTGGAGCTCTGAGTGGTAATCCCTGCAACACTAAACACTCTATCTGGGGGGGTCATCATTAGGGTCCACGTTGGACAGTGCCACAGCAGTGGCATGCATCAACCATCAGGCAATAACCAGAGGTCTTGCTTCAACAAAAAAGGAAGAAAGGATTCTCTAAGTCCCAGCCTTGTGTGCCGCTTGCGGTGTGGGCAGTTGGCCAGCAGACTACCTCAGCCTGGAGCTTCTGGACCTCAAAGAGTAGTCCCTTCACCTGGCATTATTTCAGGACCTGTGGGGGTTTCTGTATGTGGACCTTGTGGCCTCCAGGTTTCGAAAACATCCTGGACAGGTTTGTCTCAAAATGCAGAGATTTTCTCGCTGAAGAAGTGGATGCTGTGGTTGCTCGGTGAGATTAGTACAACCTGATCTGCACCTTTCCTCCTCTGAACCTTCTTGTTCCTCTACTCTGCAGGATTGAGATGGTAGGGCATACCAGTGATCCTCAGAGCTCCAAACCTGCCCAGGTGGATGCAGTACTTTGATTGGATTCAATTTCTAGTAGACACCCTGTGGCTGTTCCCGATTGATTGGATTACCTACCCCAATGCCGTGACTTCAACGGCATGATTTTTGGAACACAGGTCTTGACAGACAAGAGTCTCCCTGAATCCCACACTGTTAAAAGCTAGGAAGTCTATCTCAAACATGGAAGACATACTTTGCATAGTGCAAGGATTTAAGTTTTAACCCCAGCTTTTGGCTCCAAGTACCATCAAAGGGGAGACCTCAGCTCCTGTAATGTTTTTCCAAGACCGCTAGTCTCAAATTTATTGGTTAAGACTTTTGTACAGGGTGTCACCTATGTAGCTCCTCTTGTACAATTACCGACTTTGTTGCTTTCGAATCTGGTTCTGTCAGCACTTGAGATGTATGTCTAAGCTGTCGGCCCTGTTCTGTAAAGAACCCCATTTATTCTTAAACAAGAACAGGATGGTGTTGAGAGCTAGAGCTGTCTTTCTTCCTAAGGTGGTTTCGGCTTTTCAGGACATGTTCTTCCATCTCTCTGCCTGGCTCCAGTTAATCCAAAGAAAATTAGATTTCATTGCCTGGATGCTGTTTGTGCTATAAAGGTTTACTGAAAAACAGAATCTATTTTTGTCATTCCTGATGGTTCCTGCAAAGGGAAACCAGCTTCTCGCTTAAACATTTCTTGATGGCTCATTCAAATCTTTTTTCAAGCTCATGGTCTTAAAGATTGGTTTCATTCTTTCCTGTTGAAGCCTCATCCTTCTAGATCTGTGAGTGCCTCCTGTGCTTTTTGGCACTGAGCAACTGTTTACCAGATTTGCAAGGCTGTCACTTGACCTTCTGTTCACACATTCTCTAAGTTTTACCAGGTGGATGTTCCGGCCTCTTCTGATGCCAGCTTCAGGTGCAGGGGTCCTTCAGGAAGCTCTGGCTGGCTGTTATTTTTGTTAGCCAACATCTAAATCTTCTGGTAATTGGCAGTATAACCGAATTGTCTTTGAATAATCGAATCCTGTGTCCTTTTATTGACATCCAAGAAATGGATTTTACAGTAGGTATAAAAATATTATTTTGTTATTCAATCTTCAGCCTGCATGTTATCACAAGGATTGGCATGGTTCCCAATAGCAGAGACCTTCAACTGTCAGTGACAGGTGGTGTTAGAGGTAGACTCCTATCTGTCAAATGAGGAACGTAGCTTCGGGTCCTCACAGTGTATTCTACATTACGTCTGGTGAAAGCCACTTGTTAAAATAATCAGTAGATCCAGAGAAACATCACTTGAATTTCGATAAAGTGTAGCCTGTCCCCACTTTATGAATTTTTGGATGGTTGGCAATATGGAGAAAGCGCCATTGGAATTTCATTGGACTTTATTGTTTATAATGATCTTTGCTTTGTGTTTTACAGCGTATCACCAGGAATGCCATGTTCCCAGTGTCCCCAGCGATACAGATAGTCCCGGTAGTTCCTGGATGTGCAGACAATGTGTCTTTGCTGTGGCTACCAAGGTACATCTGTTCTATCCTGCCATTTGTATCCTATGGTCAATCTGTTGGACTAACCCTTTTTCCTTTTTTTTCCTTCTTCATCTTAGAGAGGTGGCGCTCTCAAAAAGGGGCCCTATGCCCGCTCAATGCTGCACATGAAACTGTCTTTGCCCTATCAGTTGAAGTCTTTAGAGTGGGACCCACTTCACTTAACCAATAAGCAGCAGTGTTACTGCTACTGCGGGGGGCCTGGAGAGTAAGTATGGCGTAAGTAACAAAGGGACGGGAGGTGGGGGCCAAAGGGATGGGAGGGCAGGTGGAGCGGGTGGGTCCCAGAATGTAAGTATCAATGCTGAGCATAAGGACAGTAGCGGGACATGTTATGCATAGATGGCTGTTCATGTGTACATATATACACACAGATCTCTGTTTCCACAGATGGAATATGAAGATGCTTCAGTGTTGTCGGTGTCTTCAGTGGTTTCATGAGGCTTGTACACAGTGTCTGAGCAAACCTCTTTTGTACGGAGACAGGTTTGTGTTTATTGGTGTAAGCAATATAATCATTAGAGCTACATATCATGGTATGTGGGCACAGAGATGGATCTGTTTTGAATGCCGAGAACCAGCCACAGCATGTCATAGTTGTTTGGCACAGCCATTACTGGTACATTCCCTCTCTTACAGGATCCTCACCAAAGCAAGTCTATATACCTAAGCCAGGTCTTAGAACACTTGCCCTCAGTTCATGGTTTATACTGGTGTGGCCTGTGTCACGGTCAGGGGTCAGGCTTGGAGGGCAGTAGCTATAGCAGTAGAAAGGCTTTCACCAACCAGCTGGATAAGTGCAAAAAAAGTCACCCTGGGAGATGGCGCAGGCTCACTTGACGTATGGAGTCTTAGCACTACCCAGTGTTCATCAGAGTGCTGATGGTGGAGATGGGTTTTGCTGTGTGTTAGTATCAGGTTGCGGTCCTTAGGATTGTCCCACCAGAAGATGAGCAAGCAGGGGTTCAATGGCAAATACAGCAGGTGGGGATCAAGCAGAAGCGTAGTCAGTAAACAAACCAAAGGTTGGTAGCAAGTGGTCACAGGTTGGGTTTAAGCAGAAGAAGTGTAGTCGAGGAACAAGCCAGAGGTCAATAACGAGTATTAGCAGAGATATGGACAGCAGCAGGAGTGACAAGAGTGAGATATTGGCTGGAAAGAGCCCAATAATCTGGCAAACAAAAAGTACAAATTCATAGATTAAATAGGAAGTTCATGGGAGAAGCAAAGGGTTCAAGGTTCAAGAGAAACAAGGTTCAAGGCAAGGTGTAACAAGGAGTTCTCCAGGGAGTTGTCAAGCATTCCAAGTGGCTCAGCAAGAAGAGACATCCCCAGACACAGCAGAGGTTGCAGGTTCAGACCTGGGTCCTGACAGTCTGCCCATCTTAGCATTGAGGCTGATGCTGGCGCTCCCAAAATGGCAGATAGAGCTTGTGCAGATATTTTCTTTAGTTGTCTTCCCAGAATTAGTTTCTTCGAGTCTAACTTTCATTTCATAGCCAGACTGTAGCTGGATAACAGTAGGACCATTCTCCAGCCACAAGGTGTAGGCTACACATTGGGATATTCACCCAGCCTGGTCTTTCCCCAGTGGCTAGGTCTTGGAAGTCTGTATGCTGTGATGTCTGCAAACTGTATGGTGAATGGATGAATGGATTGCATTCATGACACTTCAAGCTCTGTAGTACAGGTGCACCAAAATAGATGAATTCTTAGTTAAGCTAGATCATTTGCTGTGTACATCTGTGTTTTAAGGGAACTTCAGTCATAGGTAATTTATTTTTACAGAGTTGGGAAGGGTTTGAACCTCTGACACACCTTTATCGCTATCACTCTAGAATTAAAAATCTGATAAGAGACTCAGACCTTTCCTCACTCAGTTCAGAACAACAGAAAAATTGCCTTCAAGCTTTTTTGCTATGGAAGCATTAGTAAATGTCAGTTTGTGTGCAGATACCCGCACGTTACTGTTACCATACCCAGGATGTTAGTCAAGTTCCATCTTTCGTTCTCCCCTGCTGGTATTTTCGGAACTGCTTCTGAAGAGCCATTCAGAAGAATTGGTGAAGCAATGGCAATGGAGCAGGCGCCAGTGTTGTTGGTGAAATGCCGACTGAGGCAGATAAATACAACTTGGGAGTTACCTGTGAGCTGGATACATTTCTGTATCTAGCACCAGATGTGTATGAAGGGTGAGAGTGAAAAATATAGAAAAATAGGCATAGCCGTTTGATCTTATACCTTGTTTAAAGCTACACTGTGTCTGAAAAGCAAAATGTAAAATGTCACTTCTATTTTATGTCAGGTTTTACGTTTTTGAGTGCTCAGTTTGTACACGAGGTCCAGAAAACGCCTGGAGACTTCCCTTGGAATGGTGAGCGATCTGCTACCTGCCTGTAATGGGTATCTACCACAATGTTAAAGTACCTAAAGGGCATGTATGCTACCCATTTTATTCCCTTGAGTGTATATATCTTGTATCTGTGTCAAAATAAACTAGTCTACCTCCTGGCTTACTTCAAGACTGGTGTCGTGTAGTCTTGTATGGTCGGCTGTGGTGCCTGTTGTCGGTGTTTGGACGGGGAAGCGGTATTCTAACGGAAGTACCCAAGTGCAGTCTGGGTCGATTCCGTTGCACCCATCAACTCTTTAGTGCTCCAGGGCTTCTGGCTGGGGTTGAGCATATGACCTCCCCTGTGTGTGACAGTGCTCAGGCCTGAACACTGAGAACATGCCTGGGAAAGTTTACATACCTGAATTAGCAAATTGAAAGTGTCTCTTTAAAAACATTATACCCTATCCCACATGTTCCCTATCACAAGCAGAAACCGAGAGCTGTCAGTTTTCTGGAAGTTGGTCGGTCTGCCTTTACACACACATGAACATTAATGGCATCCCAGTCTTAGTCCGTAGGGTTCAATATTGACTTGGCCCCGCCCTTTGCAGCTATAACAGCTTCAACTCTTCTGGGAAGGCCGTCCACAAGGTTTAGGAGGGTGTCTATGGGAAGGTTGGACCATTCTTCCAGAAGCACATTTGTGAGGTCAGGCACTGATGTTGGACGAGAAGGCCTGGCTCACAGTCTCCGCTCTAATTCACCCCAAAGGTTGAGGTCAGGCTAGTCAAGTGTCTCCACCCCAAACTGGCTCCTCCATGTATTTATGGACCTTGCTTTGTGCACTGGTGGGCAGTCATGTTGGAACAGGAAGGGGCCATCCCCAAACTCTTCCTACAAAGTTGGGAACATGAAATTGTCCAAATGTCTCAGTATGCTGACGCCTTAGGATTTCCCTTTACTGGAACTAAGGGAACAAGCCCAACTCCTGAAAAACAACCCCACACCATAATCCCCCCTCCACCAAACTTTACACTTTGCACAATGCAGTCAGGCAAGTACCATTCTGGCAACCATAAAACCCAGACATGTTCATCAGATTACCAGACAGAGAAGCGTGATTGGTCACTCCAGAGAACACATCTCCGCTGCTCTAGAGTCCAGCGTGCTTTACACCCCTGCATCCAATGCTTATTGCACAGATAGGAACCTATCACAGTACCACGCTTGAATTCACTGAGCTCCTGAGAGCGACCCATTCTTTCACAAATGTTTGTAGAAGCAGTCTGCATGCCTAGGTGCTTGAATTTATACACCTGTGGCCATGGAGGTGATTGGAACACCTGAATCCAATGATTTGGAGGGGTGTCCCAATTCTTTTGGCAATATAGTGTATGTATGGCGGGTGGACGTTAAAGCCTGCCTAAAGTGCTGACACAGATATGTGTGAAAGTACTGGGAAGAGGTTAACTAGCTGTATACTAAATAAAAAGCAAAATGAATTTGCAGGCTTTCACTTTATTCCTGAAGTTCATTATAAAATACTACATTGCTGTTACAAACCCTTTATAGTCACATAATAATCTAATGTATCTTGTAAAAAACTAACGATATGCCTTTTTTTTTTCTGTGTGACCTGCAGGGTGGACGTTTCACACCTTGTTCTATATCACCTCAGTATTTGTTGTAAGAAGAAATATTTTGATTTTGAGCGGGAGATCCTGTCCTTTGTAAACGAAAACTGGGAGAGTCTGTTATTAGGAGATGTAAGTAGTTCTATTGGTAATATATTCATCAACATCCATGAGCAGGAACAACCACACATTAATAGAAATTCTTCCAGTCCCTGGTGACACAGCTGAATTTCCATCCATCTATGGCCAGCTGAAGACAGCAAATGTATTACTAATCCGATCACAGATCACCTATGCAGCTGCCAACCCAGACCATTTGCTAGCAGATGTGTGGCACTTCGCCGACCATGCCTGTCACACTAGAAGACTTATAGGGAGGCTTGGAAGGTGTCTGCCTGGAGTTCCACTTTAAGTGATATATTCTACATAATCCTAAGAGCCAGCTACCTACACTGCACGCTGAATTCCTAATTATAATCAGCCCCAAGAGTTTTTGTCAGATCTTAGACAAGGATTTATTGGGTATCTGAAGTGTAGTCTGCAATAAGGTCCAGAACCTGGCTGTGCTGTCTACCAGAGGTTCCTACAAGACTATGGGTGAACAAAATTACAAATCCTTTTGGAGGAGTTTCTCCTCTTAGATATCGTGGATGTAAAGTGAAGGAGTGGTGGTTTCCTTTGGTGTAGCTGTGACTGCTTCCTTATTATCTTGGGAACGTATGCTTCTTTAGACCTGGGGATCTTCATTGATCCGGGGATCACATCTACCCATCTTCAACTGCATCTTTACCACAGTATATACATCATTGATCTGTGTGTATGGACGTCTGAAGCCGTCCATTCCTTTTGGGACTTTGTATTGACTTTGGAGTACCTATCAAGTATATTGACTTATTCATTTATTTTATCTATTTATTTTCTAGCGCTGCACTTTTTTATTCAGTTTTATGTGAGGATTTTTTGGTTGTCCTATGTGTTCCAGCTGCTCGTCTTTAGAAAGCGCTCACTTTCATTTATTGATTCACAATATATTCATTACGGTTGTACTGACACAGATAGTATTGGTGCCAGTACTAAGCATTTGCATGCGTATAAATATACAGAATGAACGAGCGCTACTTGATAAAGCTTGGTCAGACTTGATAGGGAGCTGCTAGCATATAAAGGTATTCCTTAGCACTCAGTAGCATATGAAAAGTATTGGGTATGCAGCGCTAAAGTTATAAAAACCAGGAGTATAAATCATAATAAAAGTTAATGCTGTAAATACATGAGATAATACACATTCATAATAAATGTCCATATAAACATATGTCCCAAATAAGGTGGTATTTCTACAGCTGTTAAGGCAAGCAGTCCAAATGGATTTTACCGTAATAAAGCTATATTACACTATTAGCACCATTTTGCCTCCCTGGCTCGTTACTTGGCGAGCCCTCTAAGGTGGAGGTTCTTCAGGAGTCTGGACGGCGTTGGACCTACTGGTGAGTCTGAGATGACCCCCGAGCGTGATTGGCATCATTCCTGGGAGTCCACTACAGCACTAGATGACGCCACACCGGTGACCAGACCCTGACGCCATCACGGATCATTTACATACAACGCTCAGTTTGTATGTACTTCTGGTAAGTGCATTACTGTACTACTATTCCACGGAACACCAAGCTGCACAACTTGCCTTAACAGCTGTAGAAATACCACCTTATTTGGGACTTATATGTTTATATGGACATTTATTATGAATGTGTATTATCTCATGTATTTACAGCATTGTCTTTTATTATGATTTATACTCCTGGTTTTTATAACTTAAGCGCTGCATACCCAATACTTTTCATTTGCATGCGTAGTTGTACTTGTGCAAATGCTCTGATACCTAAAACTGATACCTTTGTGGTGCGATTTGAGCCCATACAAAATTAATGGGCTCAATTCACACTGCAAAGAATTACATGTGATTTGAACAGACGAGCAAGTAGGGTCCTTTCACACATGCATTCTGTTTTTTAAATCAGCTCAGTCACGTTTTTTCTTGTAAAAAAAAATGAATGTAAACTGCTGAAAAACTGATACGCTTTTTTTCTATTCATCACCAATGCAAAAATGGACTGTTTGTCCATTTACATCCGTTTTTTCGTCAGTTTACATCCATTTATTGTCCTTTCCGTTTCTTTAATGGAAGAAAAATAGGGGTTTCTTCCGTTCAAAAAAAAAAACGGATGCGGACATTAACGGATGTAAAGAAGAGACAGCAGCGCCACTCTAAGTGTAGACGATTAAAATCAGGCAGATTTAATGGTAAAATTGCACTCACATAGATAGGTAACAGATAGGCATGTCAAGTGATGGAGGTCCAGTGATTCCTGCCCGAATCTCATGCGTTTTCCCGCACTGCTCCTATGTAAACCCAGTATAGAAAGACAGGGAAGCGCCATCTAAGTGCAGCAATGGACAACAAGTTTGTGAAAATGTGGTTATAACAACTCACATGCTAAAAGTACATGTCTCACATGTCAAATCCAAATCTGCACCGTCATAGTGTCCCTGTCCCATGGGAACCACCAATGATGGAAAACCACAGCCGCTTGCAGTGCTCACAGGATTGGGGAACATGTATAGGCATGTAGAAGGATCTTGCAAGCTCTGAGCACGTAGCCTGTTACTGCAGTGGTCCGCCCTCAAGCTGACGTCACTTCTGCCGTATACCCACGCATGCGCTCCAAGCTGGTTTACAGGGGTCCTGGAACTTCCTACATCTCCTCCAGCCCTGTGAGCACTGCAAGCAGCTATGATCTTCCATCATCAGAGTCCTGTGGGATGGGGACACTATGACCATGCATATTTGGTGCAGTGCAATTTGAGCCCATACAAAACGAATGGGCTTCAATCACACTGCAATGAATCACATGTGATTGGAACACGATTACGGTGCAATTCCTGTCTGAATCACATGCATTTTCTCGCACTGCTCCTGTGTGAACCTAATATAGAAAGACAGAGAAGCGCCATCTAAGCGCAGCAATGGGCAAACAGTTTATTTAAAAAAATGGCTATAACAACTCACTTGTTAAAAGTACATAAGTACACAAGTGCACGGTCATAGTGTCCCCGTCCCTTGGGACTCACCGATGATAGAAATCCACAGCTGCTTGCGGTGCTCACAGGGCTGGAGGAGATGTAAGAAGTTCCAGGAGCCCTGTATAAACCAGCTTGGAGCGCATGCGTGGGTATACGGCAGAAGTGACGTCAGCTTGAGGGCGGACCACTGCAGTAACAGGCTACGTGCTCAGTGCTAGCGAGCTCCTTCTACAGGCCTATACATGCCTATACATCTCCTCCAGCTGTGTGAGCACTGAAGCGACTGTGGTTTTCCATCATTGGCGGGTCCCGCGGGATGGGGACACTATGACGGTGCAGATTTGGATTTGACAGGCAAGATATGTGCTTAGAACCATTTTTAAATAAACTGTTTCCCCATTGCTGCTTAGATGGCACTTCCCTGTCTTTCTATCCTTGGTTCACACAGGAGCAGTGCAGGAAACTACATTTGATTCGGACAGAAATCGCACCGCATTCCTGTTCCAAAAACATGCGATTCTTTAGAGTGCAATTTGAGCGCATTCATTTTGTATAAACTCAAATCACCCCGCACTGCATGGTATCGGTAACTGGTATCGGCAAGTGCTTGAGCACAAGTATTGGTACTCGCCAGTAAAAAGCAGGTATCTGTGAATGTCTAATATTCATGATGTTGAGTTGCCCTCTTCTCTTCTCTTTGAAAAAAAGTACCCTTTGCCTAAAGTTAAAAAAAAAAAAAAAAAAATGATGGTGGCACTGTTGCGGTCATGGTTTTTATGTGGTTAAAGTTGCCCATACATGGATTGAAATTTGGCCGTTCCAGCAGGGACCGGCTGAATTTTGATACATATATGGGCAACCTATCTATTGATCTACTTGTGAACAACCAATCTGTCGGGGTTTTTCTAAATGATTAGTTCCGCTGGCTATAGCCGGCAATACTAAGCATTGTGTTCTGCCGGAATGGAAGACTCCCCACTGGCAGAACACAATAGCGCTGCTGGAGGGATTCCCCCATGAAAACTGAGTGTGTTGATGGGGGGATCGAGCAATTTTCTTTCTTTCCACCCCAGGATAATGCATGCATAATCTATGGCCTGCCTAATAGTGTAGGGCATGGGTGTCAAACTGGTGGCCCTCCAGCTGTTGACAAACTACAAGTCCCATGAGGCATTGCAAGATTGACAGTTACAAGCATGACTCCCAAAGGCAGAGACTTGTAGTTTTGCAACAGCTGGAGGGCCGCCAGTTTGACACCCCTGGTATAGGTTGTATTGCTACCCAACATTTTTTTATGTCATTTGAATCCTGAAGGGAATGTTCTGGATTTATTGCTATTTGTGTCCATGCTAGGGGAGATTTACCTGGGGACTATGGTCACCAGGACAGAAAGTGATGGGACATTAAAAGTTTACTATTTTCTCTGGAACACAAAGCAAGGGAAAATCTTCCAATGGGGACACATTTTAGCTTTCTAAGATGGGATTCCCCTGACTTTGGAGATAGTTTCTGTCATTTCCTGTTGTTTCTTTGGCACAGGAAATGAGGGGAAATCTCCTTGATTAGAGACTGCCAAAAAATGACAGGGATTCTAATTCACTACATACTATATCCAATGTCCTTCATGGGCCTATTGATGTGAAGTGAAATTCAATGTGTGCCTATTGGACGCTTGGGGTGCCACTCCAGATGACTAAGCCCTGTGAGCGGGGCAAAAATATGTCAGTGGAGGAGTAGCCAGGATGAAGCAGAATTTGTTGATTCCATACTTTGGGTTGGTTTTCGGTAGTTTTGCTTTGTTCTCCCTTGATATGTGTCTGTTACTCTCACTAAAAATATACACAAATCAGTAACACAATGTCTTTCTCAGCTCACAGATACTCCTCGAACAGAGCGGTACTCCAATCTGCTTCATGCTTTGACAGCTCAGAAAGACAGGTAAGAGCTGGACAAGATATGTCCTGTCCTACGTATCTCTATTTATTCATTTTCCACATTTATGTAGCCCTGATATATTGGTAGGTCATATATACTGTAGAATACATAGAACCAATCACACCAGCCTGAACCAAAAGAGCTTACACTTTGATATTTCCACCACAACCGCACAAGTGCTGTAACACTTTGGAGCGGAATCCTGTCTCTCGGCTGATATGTTGTTGGATTGTGGAAAGTAACCTTCTTTCCCAGGGGCTCACATATACAAAGAGAACCTGCAGACCCAATGCAGGTAATTGTATGTTATCCATCACACTCCTTACAGGCTGGCCCACATTTCAGGTAGGGTGCTGTAGTGAGTGGATGTGGATGGCACAACCATACAATCGTAGGAAAATAAGGATCTTCACCAGCACACCTTGGTATACTGATAATCTTGTACTTTATTCACCTGGGCAGCACAGTGGCTGAATGGTTAGCACGTCCACCTTGGTTAGAACTTGGGTCATTGGTTCAAATCCCAACCACGGCACCACCTGCCTGGAGTTTGCATATTCTCCTTGTGCCTGTGTGGGTTTCCTCTGGGAAATATGGTTTCCTCCCAAACTCCAAAGACATGCTGGTAGGTTAATTGTTTCCTGTCTAAATTGGCCCTAGTATGTGTATGTATGAATGTGAGTTAGGGACCTTAGACTGTACACACCTTGAGGGCTAGGGACTGATGTGAATGTATGCATATATATATATGCATGTAAAACGCTGCGTAAAATGATGGCGCTATACAAGTACCTGTAATAATAATAAAGCAAGAGGCATCACAGACTGATGTTTTGGGGCCTCTCAGGCACTATACCAAGGTGTGTTAGTAAAGGTCCTTAATTCAATGCAGATAGTATCTAGAATTATATATGGGGGGGGTTACTTTTAAAGCCAGAATTCTGCTGCCAGGCAGGCTTTTATCGTCTTTAGCACCAGCACAGCATCCCAGCATGTCAGATTTACTTACAGGTCCAAGAATGAAGAACCAAACACGTGTCTGCCAAGTTTCAGAACTTGTTATTCTTAGAGCCTTCACAATAATTTCCATGAGGTTTTTTGGACTTCTCAAAAGTGGAACTGTGACCAGGCTTTAGACTTTTTACTGTTTTACATATTCCTAACATGCTGAAAAGAAGCGTTAAAACAAGTCCCCTCACTGATCTTTGGAGGCAGCAACAGGCTCCTCAATCCCAGTAGTCATGCAACAGCTTGGCCCACCCTGATCCCCGCTCCCAGCAGTGACTTAGGAGCTTGGCTCACCCTTCTCACACTGCTAGCCGTGTTTTAGCAGTACAACCATCACCTTCTCCTCCCAGCAGTGACTAGGAGCTTGGCTCACCCTTCTCACACTACTAGCCATGTCTTAGCAGTGCAACCATCACCTTCTCCTCCCAGCAGTGACTTAGGAGCTTGGCTCACCCTTCTCACACTACTAGCCATGTTTTAGCAGTACAACCATCACCTTCTCCTCCCAGCAGTGACTTAGGAGCTTGGCTCACCCTTCTCACACTACTAGCCCTGTCTTAGCAGTACAACCATCACCTTCTCCTCCCAGCAGTGACTTAGGAGCTTGGCTCACCCTTCTCACACTACTAGCCCTGTCTTAGCAGTGCAACCATCACCTTCTCCTCCCAGCAGTGACTTAGGAGCTTGGCTCACCCTTCTCACACTACTTAGCCCTGTCTTAGCAGTGCAACCATCACCTTCTCCTCCCAGCAGTGACTTAGGAGCTTGGCTCACCCTTCTCACACTACTAGCCCTGTCTTAGCAGTGCAACCATCACCTTCTCCTCCCAGTAGTGACTTAGAAGCTTGGCTTATCCTTCTTCTTTCTGCAAGCTGTGATTCAGCAGCTCCGCTCACCCCATTCCACCCTTCTTGCAGTAACCCAGCAGCTTGGCTTACCTTGCTTTCTCCTCTCAGCATGGATTTAGCACCTCACAATTCTGCCGTAAGACCTGGGCCTCCAAGCCTGCCAAGTCTGGGAACTAGCCGTCCTCAAAAGCGTGAGACACTTTTCTACCTGCACAGCCATCTGGATACCGGACATTTCAGACATCTGGGTCCAGAGTATTTATATCCAAGGGCTACAATGTACATTTTCAAAATATAAAAAAATCTTTTTGCAGCACCAGCAATGCTAATTGAATATTGTGACCCAATATTCATAAATAACTCAACATAAAATGATGACGGTAAGATAAAGTGCAAACACTGCAAAAACAATGTAAATACTGTCGTCTTGGTGTAAGAATATTCTTATTTGATTTTATTATTTTAGTTATACCGTTATTGTTTGTGTTCTCAATACGGAAATACCTCGTCAATTTTTTTGTATTTTTCTGACTTTTTCTAAATAGCTGAGGTGATATTCATTTCGTACTAGACCGCTAAGTGTATGCGGTAACAGTGATCGGATATAAGATTGCATGTGAATGACCTGAGCACCAAGGGCGTTTGATTAGGTTTTTCGGGCCTTTTTAATATGCAGCAGTTTGTCAGTATATCCAGCCCTTGATGATGTCCTATTGGACGAAACGTGTAGGGCGGAGCTGTGTGCACTAACGTCATCACTCTGCTGCCTCGTGAGCAGCAGTGTCCCAAGTAAGTGATTCAGCCAGCTTATTTTATGTGTAATTTTGTGGATGGAAACTTTTGATTTTACGGAATACAGTGGTTTTAATATACTGCACCATGAGAGAACTCTTTCCATGAATTGCGGTGGTGGATTGAGCGTGTGCTGGGTACATTCCATGTGGCGGTTAATGCTCTGAACCGGCTCAGGGGGACCAGGTACTCTGACATACTCCTTGGAGACTCTCTATGGGCTCACTCAGATCATCTGTTCAGGGGCTGGTCAACCATCCTGCTACCTGGTTTCTGGCTTTATTAACATGGCTGTTGATGCTCATGTCCTGACGGACATGGGACTATTGGAATCAGTCATCCCTATGCTCCTAAAAGCTAGAAAATCTAATTCTCAGTCTACAAAGTCTATGATCAGTTTACTTTACCTGGTGCAAGCCTATAAAATTCCATCCCTGGAAGCACTCTGTTAGACCAATCTCATCTTTCCTCCAGTCTGGTTCGGCCTTAAAGCGGAGCTCCACACAAAAGAAGAAGTTTTCGCTTCAAAGTGATACTAAAGCTTAGTTTTGTTTTTTTTTTCATAAAATAACAAACATGTCATACTTACCTGCTCTGTGCAGTAGTTTTGTACACAGCTACCCTGATCTTCTTCTTTTCGCATTCCCCACTGACGCTCTACCTCCTCTTCCTCGATTAGTGCCCCCAGGGAAAGCTGCATGCCCTGGGGGCACTGCTACATGCTTTCTCCCAAGCTGATGCTCTGTGGATTCATAATACACATAGAGCTGCAGCTCTGCCTTGCCCCCCCGCTCTCTCCTCATTAGCTCACTGGCTGTGATTGACTCATTCTCAGCCAATGAGGAGGGAGAGTCCCCCTACAGCCAAGGTTATTGTGAACATTGCTGGATTGGAGGGGGCTCAGGTAAGGATCGGATGGGGGGGGGGGGGGGGGGGGGGCAGAATGCATGAAGCCTTTAGAACCACATTAAGACCTCCTCCCCAGTTTCTGTTTTTTTGAAATGGGGTACCCCTCCCACTTCCGCTCTGACCGCCTGGGCAGTTGGAAGGGGAATTTCTCCTCCCTCCCCTCCCTCCTTCCTGCAGTCTTCAGAGACACGTGACAGGTCCCAGAAGATTGCCGGACCATTCCCGTTGTGCGGTGCCGCTCACGCATACGCAGTGAGCACCTGGCTGTGAGGCCGCAAGCTGTCACAGCCGAGTGCCACACACCAAAAACTTTTTTGTGGCTTTTAATTTTTACATAGGAGACTGGAGCTCCGCTTTAAATACCCTCAAGGGTCACATTTAGGCTCTAGCCACTCTTTTTCACAGACCACTTAGTTCTCGCTCATTGGTAAAAGCCTTTCTGCAGGGTGTTCTCAATTTTCTCCTGTTTGCTCCCCAGTGACACCATGGGACCTCAACGTTTTTTTGGTCTGTCAGAAAATGCCCTATCAGGGACTTCTGCATGCCTTTCCTCACTCACAAGATTTCCTTCTTCATTCCTATCACCTCTGAGAGATGTGAATCCAAGTTAGTGGCCTTATCCTGTAAGGAACCCTTCCTCGTGTTATACAGGGATAAGGTGGCCTAAGGTCTGCTTTCTTCCAACAATGGTTTCTTCTTACCACCCTAACCATGACATTGTGCTTTCCTCCTTATGTCCTGCTCTGACACATACCAGGGAGGTTTCTGTCCTCTGTCTAGATGTGGTACGTGCTATACAAGTCTACCTCTCTGCTACAGATCCCTTTAGCCCTGATTAGTCGATTCTGCTGCGACTTCTCATGCGACTTGCTGTGATGTGTGACACAGACATTATTGTTAATAATTCCATTGCACATGTTGCTGGGTCAGGCTCAGAAGTAGCGGGTGCTTTAGCAACATCCACAAGGCAACTGGAAATATCACAGATCATAGTGCATATTTGCTAGAACACCACGGATCATCAAAGTCATCCGGAGGAACCTTTTTTCATTGAAGAAAGATCACATCACAAAGAGAAAAGTGCAATGTTTCAGAGCCACGCAGGACCCCTTCTTCAAGCATGTGATACGTTGTTACAGTGACACAAATATATATGTAGTGCTGTCCACCAATGAACAACCAGAAAAAGGGTGCCACCCCTCACCTTCTGACATCCAATGACGTCACAATCCTATCAAAATAGCATACTAAACACAGGCAGCAAGCTTTGTCAAAGTGTACAGAAAAAGAATGCCTCAAAGGAGATCAGCATACCTCAAATGTGCAAGCTATGTCAGCGTGTATAAACCCCCTGCACAGAGCCCTCAGCTCAGATAACTTACCCAAACTCAAATGATTGGGCGCCTTTCAAAGATGTGCCCGATTGGTATCGGCAGGGCTTCCCTGT